GATTACTGAGCATTCAGGGAGTGGTCCTCCTTTTTCTGGTTCTTGTATATTTTTCTCGTTTTTCTGTATCAGGACTTTTATGTTGGTGTCTCTGAATATATCTGTGATTATCTGTTTCATAGATATCCAGGTTCTACTTTTTAGTCCCCATACTTTCTGTTGTTTACAAATTGATTCTATGTTCTGTTCTAGTGCGTAGCTTTTTTGTTATTTGCCAACATCTGTATAAGTTTCTTAATGTTGGGTTTTCTCTTGTCTGCCTTATACATTCAGAAAGAGCTATTTTGCCTCCCTGTGATTCTGTCGATACTTGCCCTACCCTTCTTTTTTTCGTCTCGTTTTTGGTTTAAGTGATTTATGGCTTTACCTGATGGTGTTTCCTTCTTGATTACTTTCGTTTGACTTAGTCTTAACGTCCTTTGTCCTTTTAACTTTATAGTGTTTCGGTTCCGATCTAGAGTGCTTGGTTTGCTTTCATAAAATCTATTCCTAGAATAATCGGGTACGGCACTCCATCGATTGCATTCATTTTGCATGTGTAGATTATGCCTGCTTTCTGTATTGATGCCATTTCTTCTCCTAGAACGGGTATTTTATGTCCTCCTGCTGTAACTAGTATTACATTGGAGCTTTCTAGCTTGCCTTTTCTCATCAAGTCCAAATTTATTATGTTATTTTGAGAACGAGAACCGGTATCTATTATTGCCATCTGACTGGAGTTGTTTATTTTTATGTTGAGGAATGGAATACCCGTATTGTTTCGCCCTTCTGTTAGGATGGCTGGGACTTCTAATTGCGCCATCCTTGTGCGTTTGAGTGTCTTTGTCTACAAGTGGCCGCAAAACGGCCGTATTTACCGCAGTTGTAACATTCCTGGCTGTTTCTGGAATTTCTCGAACGTTGACTGTTTTGCCTGAATTGACCTGTGTTATCTTGGTTTCTTTGGTAGGAGTCGCTATTTGCTTGATTGTTTGGCTTCTTACTTCGTGGAAAATTATTTTGCGTTGCCCCCCTGCTCTGCCAGCCTCTTGAGTTTTTCGTATTTTGATTGTTGTACCTGTTGTTTTGTTGCCTTGTTCCATATCCGTTATTTTACTGAGCTGAAGAGTAATTATTTGTGTTCCTAGACCAATTCTGTTGTCTATATCCCGGGGATCCTCTTGGGTTCAGCTTATTTCCCCCCCTTGAATCGTTGTAGGTGTTTATAAGGGAAGAGCTAGATTTTGGAGCTTTATCAATCGTTGCCGCGATTTTCTTCAACTCGTCTATTGTTTGGTGTATTCGTAAGCCAGTAATAATTATAGTAATTATCCTCTGTCATGCCTTTGCCGAAGGTATCTAAAAATTCCTCCATATTCATCGCTTTATTGTAGTCTGCATAGAGTACCCTAAATTCATATAGATAGTACCACACTCCACACTTTCTTCTTCCTTCTGTTTTCCATCTTCAAATTTGTTCCCCAGTTTTCCTTGATAGTCGACGTCTTCAAATTCTATTTTGAAGTCTCTGGTGATATCCTCCCAGCCGTTGTTCCTGTGTGCATCTTTGTACTCTTGGAACCATAAGTTTGTTGCTCCATCCAGAAATGTTTCGAAATATGCTATTTTCAACATCCCATCCATTTGCAATTGCTTTTCTCTCATAACTGTTTAGAAAGTCATTAACTCTGCATGGGTGAAAAGTTGTAGAGCTTCTAAATTGAAGGATCGTCGCCTTTCTACCAGTGGCGGGTGCGTTTTGGTTTTTGATATTCTCCATGGCTGCTTGTATTTTTCGGTTTGGTTTTTCTTTGTCTGGTGATTTTTTGTTGGACGAATTTGCGTCTTCGTCTTTATTTTTCGGGGCAACCTGCTTTGCTTCTACCACAGTTTCTTCTAGATCAGCTCAAGAGCCGCTTTAAACAAAATTACGGTATGGAGGGCCGCATTATAAAATACTTCGATTGCAACTTCATTTGTGAGTTTTAATAGGCATGGTATACAAAAACGCGTTCCTATATACGATATACGGGCGCTTGCGTGCCGCGTGGCTTCCCGAATATTGTCGAGCATCAAGATCGGTCCAAATTTCAGTAACTTCGCTGCGACCTTATATCCTTCGCCAGTGGCGTCACATGTTTTTTTATTTGCATTTTATCGTGAATGTATTGGCCACATTACACATTCTACACACAGGACTATTCAAACCATAGTTTGTCCTGTGAAAATCTATACCAAAAATCTCATTTTGTCTAGTTACTCTCTGAGGTATTCGAAATGGAACTTTTTCCAATAGCTCAGGACAATTGATTATGTTATTACAGATTTTATGAAGAGTACAGGGTGCTGCAATTTGGAGTGTTTTAACAGGAAAAACACACTTCCCGACCAGATAGAGGAAAATTGACTTAGATGTCATGGGATCGATTTTCGAGAAACGTCGATTGTCAAAAACCGTATAGCGATATCTTCAATGGTACTATTAATACAGGGCGATTTTCGATTTTCCCCTATTATGAAAAATGGCTATAAGTTTTTTATTTATCAATTTTTTTTATTTCTGTAAAAACATTATGGAGACACTTTTTTGAACACAATCCAGTGACGGACTCGTTTTTTTTCTATATCGCTCCGATTCCGAGATATCGACCAAATTCCGATATTTTCAAATGAAGCACCCTATATATCAATAGCTCATTGGATAGCTCTGTTTTTGCTGATTTCAATGATATAAAGTTCGATAGGTTTATCTCCGACAGTTTTCGAGAAAAAATTTTTTATCTGTTTCGGTCATAAGAAACAATGTGTTAGACAGAGTTCTTCCTCATTCTCCTTACGCATATAAAATCCTTTTCTAACACATTGGTCCTTACGAAAAAAACAGATATAATTTTTTTTCTCGAAAACTGTTAGAGATAAACCTATCGAACTTTATATCATTGAAATCAGCAAAAACAGAGCTATCCAATGAGCTATTAATATATAGGGTGTTTCATTTGAAAATATCGGAATTTGGTCGATATCTCAAAATCGGAGCGATATAGAAAAAAACTGAATCCGCCACTGGATTGTGCTAAAAAAAGTGTCTCCATAATGTTTTTACAGAAATAAAAAAAACTGATAGATAAAAAACTTATAGCCATTTTTCATAATAGGGGAAAATCGAAAATCGCCCTGTATCAATGGTATGATGATATCGTGATACGGTTTTTGACAATTGACGTTTCTCAAAAATCGATCCCATGACGTCTAAGTCAATTTTCTTCTATTTGGTCTGCAAGTAGGTTTTTCCTGTTGAAGCACTCCAAATTGCAGCACCCTGTACATATATCAAACTGTGTCCTTCTAGACCTCAATGTTTGTAAATTGAGAAGTTTGTAGAGTTCGCCATAGTTTATATCATCAATTGGAATGCCCAACTTAAAGTTAATGAGTCTTAAGAATTTTCTTTGAACTTTTTCTAAGTCATTTACATAAATGTTATAAAAAGGAGACCAAACTGGACATGCATATTCCAGACCTGATCTAACATAGCTGCAATATAGTACCTTAAAGCAATTTACATCATCTGGCAACAAAACCCAACATTTTTAGTGCCTTATTCTTAATAAAGTTAATGTGGTAATCAAATCGCAATTCATCATCAATATAAATTCCAAGATCTTTGATTTTATCGACTCTCTCCAAAAGTTGATTATTGATATTATAGGGAAAGAGTATGTTATTTCTTTTTCGGGATATTGTCAGAACACTACATTTCTCTACATTCAACTCCATACAGTTAGCATTACACCAGGAATAAAGCTTATCAATATTATTTTGCAATTTGCGACACTCATTTTCATTTTCCACCCTCATAAACATTTTCAAATCATCAGCAAACAATAAATTACATCCAAAATCCAGAACAGCAACAAGATCATTAATAAAGACATTAAACAGTAGAGGAGCCAGATGAGATCCCTGGGGACGCCCGATGGCACATCAATTTCATAAGATACAAATTTTTTCATTTTTACAAATTGTTCCGATCAACTAGATAACTCTTAAACCATGACAGCATCACTCCATGAATCCCAAAAAGCTCCAGTTTATGCAAAAGTATTCCATTGTGCACCCTGTCAAAGGCCTTGGAAAAATCAGTGTAAATTGAACCAACCTGACGTCTCTCCTCCAATGCCTCTGACAGAGCCTTACCATAGACTAGCAAATTAGTCAAAGTTGAGCGGCCCTTTACAAATCCATGCTGTTTGGTCGACATAATTTGCCATTCTCTCCAAAGATATTGTATTTGTTGACAGTACATCATACTGTGATGCACTAAATCATTGTTTAACGTTTTTACTGATTACGTGATATCTTCATATTTTAGTAACAACGAGTAAGTATAGATACAAGCTTATTCAGAAAATTAAAAAGGGGAAGGAAATTGTACAAAAACGTGCAGTCTTTGAAAAATTTAGAACTTAAATTTTCAATTATTAGATATTCAGATTTTGCTAAATCTAAATTTAGTAACCCATATCCAAAACGGATATATTTCTTAATTCCTCCGTTTCAATCAAAAAACTTAACAATTTAATCAATATATTCATGAAAAAAATCCATAGGGAACACAAAGAACATCTAAATTTCTGAATTGTTTAACACGTACAAAAGACAGTTAAGTAAGTATATAGATTTTTCAACATCAAACATTGTTTGTTGAATTTAATAATAATGTTCTATCGCCAGTAACATTCTGCCCCTGAATCTAGCCCATGCTGTAACATTCTGACCCTTTAAATAGCTCCATCATCGTCCCGATATTCTGACCCCTTCAGCGCATGTAGTAACATTATGCCACCCAAAATAGCCACATCGAATTTGATTGGTCAGGTTTCCGGGCTATGGCTATATTGGGTGGCAGAATGTTTTGATGCAAACCGTGTTAGCAAAAAGGTATAAAAAGCACTTTTCATGTTCACAACATTAATTATGCAATATAATATCAAAAATCAATTAATTTGGTGAAATTCTAGGCTACAGGAGCCAACTGCAAACTACTGAACGAATCATTTGTCAGATATTATGAAATAATAAAAAAGAACAGGATTTCAAAGCCCAATGGTATCATCAGCAACATAGTTACAAAGCCATTGGTAGATGAATCTTATTTAGGAGAACTCAAACAACTCAATGTGAATTTAACAGGCAAATGTAATGACAATGACCAACCATCATTGGATATGGATGAAAGTTGTAAGAATTATTCTACTACCTACTCCTAATAATTTTCACGTAAAATAAATCTCTCGCAATAGATTTCTTAGGAGTTCTTGAGGATACTGAATTGTCTGCTAATTCTATTTGGGGCATCTTAAGAGGATTGGAAAGCTTCTCTCAGCTTCTATACTTAGGAGACGATAAATCAAGTGTAAGTTAAAAATCAATGAAGTGGACTCATCCACTCTTTAGAAATAATCAAATGCAATTTTTTATTTAATCATTTTCCATTTATTTATATAGGTTCTTATGAATGCAACAGTCATTATAGACTATCCCAGATTCAAACACAGAGGATTATTGCTAGATACTTCCCGACATTATATTCCGTTAGACAAAATTTACGATATTCTGGATGCCATGGTTTACAATAAGTTAAACGTATTTCATTGGCATATCGTTGATGATCAAAGCTTTCCCTATGTCAGCAAGAAGTTTCCTGAATTAAGGTAAAGTTTACGTTACGTTACGCGTCCATTTCCTGTAGCATTACGGAACAGGAGAATTTTTCTAAAATAAGTAAAAATCTATGCATTTCTTTAGTCAACAAGGCGCCTATGATCCGACTTTATTCGTCTACACTGCTGAGAACATATCTGCAATAATTGATTATGCGAGAAAACGAGGTGTGAGGGTTATGCCCGAATTCGATACTCCTGGTTAGTATGCAAAAGACAATTTTTCATATTAAATAAATTGACAATATTCAAGGACACACAAGATCATGGGGAGTGTCGCATCCAGAACTTTTAACCAAATGCGATGGTGTACAAAAGGGAGCTTATGGTCCAATGGATCCAAGTAAAAATACAACGTATTCCTTCTTGAAAGATTTATTCGCTGAAGTTAGAGAAGTTTTTACCGATCAGTTTATTCATCTTGGCGGAGATGAAGTTGATTTTGATTGTTGGTAAATCGACAGTCTATTCTTCAAAAATTTAATTATTTACATTTAGTTTTCTAGGCAATTAGATCCAAACATTAACGATTTCATGAAACAACACAGTATAGCAAATTACTCGGCTCTTGAGAGTTATTATATCCAAAAAGTAATCGATATTGTTGATGAAATTCCATTTAGTTCAGTTGTATGGGAAGAAGTTTTTGAAAATGGTGTTACTTTACCTAATAAAACTATTGTTCATGTTTGGAAGGATTTTGGAACTCCGTGGAACCAGACACTCTATGAGGTATGGAAATTGTATTTTAATTAAATAATGTTCAATTTCATAGGAAATTCTAGGTAACAGCAGATGGTAAATTCGCTCTTCTCTCTGCTTGTTGGTACCTTGACCATCTCAGCAATGGAGGAGACTGGACTAAGTTCTACCAATGCGATCCAACAAATTTTGGCGGATCTGAAGAACAGCTGGCCCTTCTCCTTGGAGGTATATTTGTTTATAAAATTAGGTACATAACTTTCTTTTAAATATTGTATCCACAACTAGGTGAAGCATGTATGTGGGCAGAAGCAGTAAATGAGTACAACGTAGTCCAACGAATTTTCCCTAGGGCGTCAGCTACAGCGGAAAAGTTGTGGTCAAACAACGACAATTATGATTTGGAAGAAGTTGCAAGAAGATTAGAAGAGCATACTTGTAGGATGAACAGAAGAGGTATTGCTGCTCAACCACCAAATGCTGCGGGATTCTGTCTTTGAAGAAACGTTTGTTATTTTGAAATTTGAGACATTAGTTAGGTATTATTTTTACTGAAAAAAAAAATAAAAGTTTGCAAGTTTTACAAGAAAATGCCTTTCAACGAAGGACTTATATTTTTGTTTGGTGTTGAGTTCCAATTAGGTATACCTACCTTAGAATACTCAATCTTTGTCACAAAAATTAATGTTAAAGAAAGAACTTCAGAAAAGTGTGAATGATATTCAAACAAATTTCAGATAATTCACACAACCGCACCCTTTCACAAAAGTCTATAAATCTTTCCCAACTAATTGACTAATGACTAATGATCCAGACACTACCATCAATAGGAAATCTTAAAATTGTGAAAATAACATCATTGCAGGAATTATGTAGGTAGTGACGGAGGAATATCCAAGTTTGGAAGCTAGCGAACAATGTGTCAAATTAATTTTCTAATTCCAATTTGAGAGAATCTGACTAATGCCAGTAATTTACTATAGGTATAGATTCACTCACAATCACTTCCAACAATACAGAACTGAAAGCAGACACTGTCTGGGGGCATCATTGAAGAGAATTAAACATTTTCTCGAGTTATTTCTTTTAGGAACAAGTAATGAACATGTTTCTTAATTATACATTTGAATATGCTTATAGTTGATACCTTTTAAATTTGCATTGATCAAATTCAAATAACTGATCGACCAGGATTTCATCATCAACGTTTATTTCTGGATACTGGATACTCTAAAAATTATTATTTATCAAAGGATTCTGGAAAGGATGGTCTCAAATAAAAGGAACTTATTTCATTGGCATAAGTATATTGTTGCATGTTGATAAGAGATCTTCTCATAAATGTACAAAATATCCAGAGCTGTCAGGGCTGAAATGGGAAGAATTAGTTCTTATAGAAAAATTCATTGAAAAAGGCAAGGTGTGATGTCTCTAGTATATTTTCTAAACGCATATGGAGTGTTGGTATGTTCCTGCAAAATCATAAAGCTGTCGATAATTTGCGTTTACATTGGAACCTTTGCATACATTTTATCCGACTACTATCTTAAAATATTCAATAGGTTCTCTAGGTTTTCTAGGTTCTTTATTGCTCTATGTAAATACAGGGATATGTTTATTATGTGCTAGGACAATGTTCGAAGAGTGTTTTCCTTTTAGGGCAAGGTGAATAAAGACTTTTTTATTTTGAATTTATTGATACCTACATGCTTTTTTTAGTGAAAAGGGTGCATAAACGAAACGCGTTGCCTATAAGCCAAACGAAGTAAAAGAACTACCTACCTAATAGAATACGCGGCAGGAAGAGAAATTAGGGATTTCTGAAATTTTTGCAACATGCCATTTGAAAATGAGTGGATGATAAAACTGCTTTTTGATGAATTTTGTTTATAGAAAAATCAGGAATAAAAAGATTCCAAATCCAAGAACAAGGGATTAGAAAATAGTATATTGTGTATTTAGGTGGAAAAGTGACACATTCTCGGCCGACGGTGTAAGTTGACGGGCGAGGCGTAGCCGAGGCCGGCAAACACCGAAGGCCGAGAATGTGCTTTTGCACCGAAATACACATACTATTTTTTCTGAGATCGGTTAAATATCTGTTAAACGTTTGTATTTTTGTTCCAATTGTTAAGCAGTACGATAATCACTTTCCCGGCCTAGGCCGGAAAAGTGATTCTATTGCAACATAATTAAAATACCAGCATATTGGGTTTTGGGACCTGTCAACCGGTCAAAAATGCTGACATTTCTTATCAATCTCAGAAAAAAACGTTTTTGTGAACCAAGTTTTTTTTTTCACGGGCCAACCCTCGTTCAAATTCTTCTAAAAAAAAAAACCACTCATCGACTGATTTTCAAAGAAATACCTTAACACAAATTCTCAGACTCTACATTCGTTTGGAACTCGCAAACATTTTTGAGTTATTTGTGCCTCCTCTGAAACAGAGTCACTCATATATTTCTTTACCCCTAGTTAAGGTTTTTAAAAACGCCGAAACATGTTTTTGCTGATTTTATTTTATTTTTTTTTTTTTTATTTTTTTTTATTTTTTTTTTTTTTTGCTGCTTTCTTGTCAGAAACCACCACTGTGGTTTGTCGACAAAGCCTCCAACATCACACACAAACCAAATCAAACAAACAAACAAACATCCATGCACCTAGCCGGGATTCGAACCCGAGACCCACTGCATGCAAAGCGAAAACACAACCGCTGAGCTGCTTGGGTCTGCATTATAGTAGAGTTATTACATACCAATTTTCAGACTTCTAGTGCTTGTCGTTTTTAAGTACAGAAAATCTTTTCTAAAAAAAAGGGGTTGACCTTATTATCTTAACCCCCTCAGGGTAAATTTGAAAAAAAAAATCTTATTGATGACATTACAAACTCAATCTAAAATCGTTATAGTTGATTGAACGAAAGGCGAATATTTTCATATACTATTCGTTTTGAAAAAAAAATCGCGCGGACCAGTCGATTTTTGCTTTGTCTTTGTCAGTGATATGGAAATATGAATACTTATGGGGGACGAAGACAGAACCATTCGCTCTCGAGGAGAAGGCTGCTCCCCTGTTTCGAGAATAAGGACCCAGGGCTGGAACTCTGTAAAGCATAGCAGAGATCGTTATCCCTATCGCTATGTCAATTGCTGTCTTCTTCTTTCTTGTCGAAATCAATAGAGAGGAGACGTCAATAGAGATAGAGGCAATATCACTATTCGTTACAGAGTCCCAGCCCAGGGGGAAAGATTTTGCTCATATCATCAACCTTTTCGCTTTCACCCCTCCGGGGTGGTGAGCTTTAAGGTACGGTTTTATAGGATAGTACGCGACGCACAACTGACAACGTAAACGTCGACAATGGTTCAGGTATGACGTACACCCGTTCCCTGACGTCAGCGTCAGAAAACGGGTGTACGTCATACCTGAACCAATGACGACGTTTACGTTGTCAGTTGTGCGTCGCGTACTATCCTAACAAACCGTACCTTTAACCCTAAAATCTTAGATGGGAATAGGGGTCGAATGATACCTTATTCCAAATGCAATCAAATTCTCTTTCCAACTCATCTTAATATTGCAGATTTGATACAGCCGTTTTTGGAAAAATAAGAGTAGAATAATAAAATTAAAAATATATTTAAGATCCGTTAATTTTTATATCGAGAAAATAGTTTTTTCCACTTATTTTCAACGCTTTCATTTCAACCAAAATATCTGATGAGCTTAGCTTTACGGTATGGTTTAGGTGAGAAGGGTGAGACTTAAATGTAAATTCTTTTATTTACAGTTCTTGGTAACAAGTGCTCAAAGTGTTGACTCAGATTTTGTTCAAAACGCTTCCGCGGACAATATAAGCATTTCTGGAATTCGTTGAAATGGTTCGTCATAAGTACATCAAAGATCAATGATACGCTTAAATCATTCAATGACTGTGGCTGTTGTTTTGTTGTAAATCTCACCTACTTTTTAAATGACCTTATAGAAAAAATAAGTCTTAGGGGTAAGTCAGGTGATCTTGCAGGCCACTCTATTGGTCCTCTTCAGCCAATCCATCACCGGGGTACGTCCGATTCAAATACAATCGCTATAAATTCCAGCCCACACGTTTAATTTCTCAGGAGGTTGAGTGTTAACCTCATGGAATAGATGTGGATTTTCGAAGACCAATATCTACAATAGGGAACTTGCACATTTTTTTTTTATTTCAAAAATGTGTTGTACTACACTAAAGACATAGTCATGCCAAATATCAAGCATTAAAAATCAGCCGTTAATTTTTTATAAATATTTGAAGTTACGCTCGAAACATCGCCATTTGAAACGACCGATTAGTGTGACGTCACTCAGCAACAAAATTCCGTTCACAGTCCTTGGTTGACAGTGACCTTCGAGCAGGTAGATTTAGATTATGGTTATGTTGTTATGTATGCCGTTTATGATAGATTTGACATTGACACCAGCAGCACATGGCGTGGCAGCGGTGCGACCCGATTATTACTGCCCTTTGACGTCAGGACCCATAGAAATACGTTTTTGATCTCGTCAAGAATTTTGAATTATTTGGTATTTTCAATTGAAGATTTTGAAAACCAGAGATAAGATATTACATCCTTTTCCTAATTGCATCATTTATTAGGATGATTGTTATTGTATTTTATTATTTATTTCATATTTACTTTAATGTGCAAGTTCCCTATTGTGAGGATTAACAGTCCCATTCACAAAAACCGTACACTCTTCAGAAAAGCTGATGTTGAACAATAAATTCGAATTATTTATTGTTCGCTCAGTCATAATCTCGCAAAATTCCAAACGTTCGCTTCCCACTATCCTTTGATTTAAGGCGATTGCTTTTCGATTTGCCACAGATCCTGTCTCCCTAAACTTTGCTACTAGTTCAATTACTATACGTATTCCAGAGGCGAATATACGGGGGGGGGGGTAATGGGGAACTACCCCCCCAGAAAACCAGAAAATTTTAGACCTACCTTAATTTTTAGTTTTTATAATAGTTAGGGAGACGACCGTATTTTTCCTACCCCGATCGAGTTATGTGTCGACACTATTATCAATATATAGTATTATGTGCATCTATTAACCTGTATTCCTGCCTGAGAGCAAATGCTGCCGGAAATATCTTTTAACAAATTATTAACAAATTGAAAAAAACGTAACACTACCCCCATCGAGTTATGCCCTAAGAAGGGTATCAGATTGAAGGTCTCGATGTCCCCTATCTAAAAAGTCGATCCTGCCTCGTGAGAACTTGCCGGAAAAGGGTGGCAGGACAGCTTATTGGGGCAAGGGCCCGCGGTCTCTGCTTTGACACCTATCAAGATTTGCACTAAATGATGTGTCAAATTAAAGGTGTCAATAAGTTTATTTAGGGTCTCTTCGCACAGAAATCCCAAACCAGAAGGAGTGAATTTCATTGTTTGAAACTAGTTTCCTGACTGTTTCCAACCAATGAAATTCGCTCTGACTGGTTTGTGATTTCTGTGCGAACAGACCTTAAATCAACTTATTGACACCTTTAATTTGACACATCAT